ACTAATAAGAAAGAGCAATTTCTTAAAATATTTGCTAATTCTGAAAGAATATTTATTAAAAGCAATAAAATATTGTCATTACAAAAATACTGCTTATCTTTTTCTAATACAATTTTACTCTTAACTTTATTCTAACTTTTAGACAAATTCGTTCACTTCAAGATTTTATTTCATTTCTTACTGGCTCCGTGGCCAAACGGTTACCATGCCGGACTGCCACGCAGAGGTCCCAGGTTCGATTCCCGGGCCGGGAGAAATAGTAGTATGGCCTACAATTATTTCTCTCGTGAGTTTGGGTGTAATTTGTGGTTGTCTATGTGTGTGTCCACCCGCGAAACAGGGTTTCCCTAGTGCGGGGCTATGTTGAGTGTGTGCGTTATTTATTTATTTATTTTTATTTATTTCTAATCAATTAATTGGACATTACTTACATCAAGAAATTTTACCTCTTTCATGAAATTTAAATAATCTTAAATGAATTCAAAATTTCTTGGGTGTATTTTCAGAAAATATATTCTTAAACAAAAAATAGAAGTAGTTTACTATTCAGATTAATATTCTAAATTCTAGAGTATATTTTTAAAGTAACATTTCGTTGCGTTTTCATAACCAATGTTGTCGTGACATGTCGCCGAAGGCGCTCGCGGTAACGATTACTTTTACTTGTGCTTGTACTCATAAAAATCATAAACAGTCATTTATCCAAAGAAACAATATGTAGTATCTCTAGTTTGTTAGGGTGTTATTTATAGTCATAATTTAAGAAATTTAGATTCAGCATGAAATCAAACTACACTTGTAACAAGCACAAACTTTAAAATGCAATTAGTTCCATCACGCAACTGCTAGATGGCATTAGTAGTACTCTGAAACGCGCCATCGTTTTGTTAACTTCAATAGTATAAGTTATCTCATATATTTTGAATTATTAGTGCTTTCTGCCGCTGTAGCATTTATACGGCACTGAATGGTACTCAAGTATTTTAGAAGATTCCGTTCTATTTCTGCTACTTTAAGGTTTGGCGCTGAACTGTGTGCTTTCACGCCAGTGAGACGCACTGTTGGGTCCATAACCCTGTAAATTTACTCTTTTTGATATTAGAAAACATAAATCTTCAGTCTAAGAATTAAGTACCTCTCCATTTTTCATTCTTTTTTTTTTTTTTCAAGTCAAAATCGGACATTTCTAATAACCAATAAATATTTAGTTGAATCTAGAATGGCTTTGTGACTTGAAGTAAATTAATTTGCTCTTGGATTAAATATTTCCGTCTTTTAACTAAAATACACTTTTGACGTTTTTTTACTATTATATATATTATTATTCTCTAGCGTCTATAGGGAGAGGATCGTTTTGTTGGATTTAATAAATTTGTCTTCATAAAAAGAATTTTGTCTTTTTGTAAGTAATCTGTTTTTACCGTGTATCTACATACCTGCTAAAATAAAAGTGTAAGTGTGTTGATATTGGTTGATTTAAACAATGTTTGTGTTTCTTTTATACACTTGAAACATATTATACGCCACGTCACCGATTTTATGATCAGCGCACACGTCTAGTTAGGACCTAAGAGAGGAAGTAACTGCAAGAGTTATGTATAAGCAAAAATATATAAAACGACTGTGAGTAAAATTATTTATTGTAATAATACCAAACAATAGAGTAATAGAGTGTACAATATCTAAAATAACCAATTTTACATTACATTAGTGAGAGCTCTGAATTCCATAATAATATGGATTGGTGTACCGTTCGCATAAAAACCAAAACAAGTAAATATATGAATTATTCGTAAACAACAAGAAAATGATTATTGTACGTCAATCACTATTATATAAGTATTTTCTTCTAAAGTGTTACAAGAATTGATAACTAAATTTTTTCTCTTAATAGTACTTACTATCAAAGTAGAATTTTCTGTAAAGACAAATACCATTACATATGCAATTTCGAGCTCTCGCTAATATGACTATATATTATAAGTGCATGTTCAATAAATAAATAAATGTGTAAATGTAAATACAAGCATAGCTGTAAGTGATTGTAAATATGTTTAATTGTAATACGATGATGAATGAATGAATGATGCCGCGGTTGATGAATAAATGAATGATGCCGCGGTAGCCTAGTGGTATGACCTCCCGCTTCTCAAACAGAGACCGTGGGTTCGAATCCGGGCTCGCACCTCTGAGTTCTTCGGAATTTATGTACGAAATTTAATTTGAAATTTACCATGAGCTTTTCGATGAAGGAAACCATCGTTATTGAATCTGCACATCGAAGAAGGTTCACAACCCTCGGAAAACGTGTCAATACCCCAACCCGCATTGGGCGGAGTATGGCCTAAAACCTCGCCTGTCAGGAGATCCGTGCCCAGCAGTGGGACGTATAAGTGGGTTGATGTAGATGATGATGTAATAAATGAACATAATAATCTCAGCACAGAGTACTAAAAAACCGACCTCAAAATTTGTGGAATTACATCTATTTGCCAAGTTGAGATTTTTCTAGCAAAAATAGCTCTTGTATATTTAAGTATTGCTTTGAATTTGTGTAGATGATGGAATAATAATTCAGCATTTTGCAGCTGAGTATTTGAAACTACCCCTGAATGCTGCAGTTGTAGTATAAATAACTTCATGTCTTTCTTGAAATCGGGTGTATTATAGTATATAGGTAGGTACTGAGCGAAATCATTAATTAAACGACAAGGTCGCTCTACAATAGGTATACTTTATACCATTGGATAATTGGAATGGAATGAACTTAATGAATCTAAATTAATTTAATGAATGTCAATACAATTAATTATATCCAATCAACACCAAGCAGAACAAAAAGATCTGCAACGCACTGCTATCGGCGCTCGCTCAACGATTTTGATTCTTCTTTGTTATGTAAAAGATCGATCACTTTCATTTCATGCTCGTTTATTAATACTAATATAAAAATACAGGATGCTTACATATATTTTGATAATAATAACCAAAGTAAAATAGTGTATATTTTATAATAGTCAATGGAAAAAAAACAGCCAGCGACGTTGTGTATATAACGCATGTGTTCATTTGCAGTAATTCTAGTTTCTTGTATAAATTGTTGTTATAGTTGTTTATTATTGAATGCGTCACCACTTTTCAGTTTTTTGGAGTCATTTGTGGTAAACGGTGTCAGTGACACAATCATTACATTTTTACTGTAAAAAAATGTTATAAGTTTTAATTGTGTCTACTGTTTGTTAGCCCAAGTAAATAAAAAAAAAATAAGAAACGGAGCCGCGCCTTTTCGGGTGTAACGTAATTAATGTAGCGGTCGATTTAACAAGCAAACAAGCTTATTAAACCTATTCCGAGAGTCGTCACGCGTCAAAGCATGTTCTGCACACCTTTTGAGTAGATATCATGTTATCAGATAAAATTACTGTATTTATATGCCGTAATGGAATTGTTCACTTATCATCGTAAGGATTACCTAACATTTGCATTACAAAGTTCATATTGTAAGTTTATACGTGCTATCCTTGTCATTACTAATGCATTTTAGTAACTTTGGACATATTGGCACTTAGTTTTTTTTGTTTGTAAAAAATGTCAATTACGTTGATTTTATTAACAATTTAAATGAAACTAAATTATACCTGCATTGAACCAAATTGTACGGAAGGGGGATTTAACGTTATTACTTTGTTTTGTCAATGGCTACGACTTTAAGTTTTACACAGTAAGCATTAATTTATGTTGTCTACGGACTGATAACAATAGATTCCCGTAAATGAGGCTAATTTGGTTGCCACGACATTTACGCGGGTTTAATTTGGCCACTAAACTCCTGATGTGAAAACTCATAATCAAATGCTGGTTACGCGTAATTGCGCTATCCCAGACGATATAAAAGAAACCGTTTATAGATGGTTGAAGATATCGTTTTGCTAATCCCGGATTTGTTAATAACTCAATTTCGCTAAAAATGTCAGTTACGCAAGTTTATGATTCTGACGAGGGCAGTACAGATACAAAAGCTTATTTTTTGTACAGTTTATGAATGAATTAATCAATGATGTTTATTTGCTTAAAATATGGTTTACAATAGTTGGTACATGTATACATAATAAACCAGTGCTCATATTTTACCGCTATCGGCATGCAAATCTATGAATGTCAACATTTTGGCAGGTAAACAATTCTAAAGCAAGTCCTATCATGTATAAAGATAACATATTATAATAGTAAGTTATAGCCATGTCATGAAGATGTACATTCCTTATCAAATAAGTTAAGTGGTCAAATTTATTGACAATTATATGTAAAGAAGTCATTAATTGAATAGAAATTTTTATCTCTTAGCCATGACATCCTCTGATGTTTAAATAGAAAATTAATATTTATCATTTTTATATCAGAGAGTAAAGCATTATATATCTTTACACACATGGCCCCACACTGTTGCTGATAGTAACTTAGTTTGGTATAACTATTACAAACTAATCTATCTTGGCCCCTTACATTTTTATTGTGAATGTCTCGCGTCTTTTTAAAAAGTTTATTATTAATTTTTACAAAATTGTGTACTTCAAAGATGTACATACAAGGCAGTGGTAAGATGTTAAGACACTTAAATAACGGTGAATAACGATGAATTATTATAGGATAATGGTTAATAATTATCCTTTAATAATTCATCATAATTACTAGAATCGCATAAGTAGTTTAGAAAGTAATGTAGCCGCTACAATACACTTATAAATCTTCTATTCAAATCTCCATACTCCACCCAAACTGGCAGTCGATTAAAAAAGAAAAAATTACAAACTTCAACCTCAACAGCAAAAATGACTTTTAATATACCGTGCGACTGGTGTGCGAAGGATTGCTTTTGCTTGGATCCGGTGCGTTAATCCCAGTCTTATAAAGACGTGTTTGAAGCGCGCCCGGCCAGTGATTGAGCGACCATGTGCTCGACTGTCGTGCGCCATGTGTTGTCAGTTTGTGCGTTGTTGCAGTGCGTTTGCGCGACTACATCTGCGCCTAAGAACATGAGCATCAGCTTCGTATATCCTGAGGCCAAGCGGGACGAGTCTGTCGTCGATAATTACCATGGCACTACGGTGAGTTGCACATTTTATCTTTGCCTTTTAAATAGCTTAAAACATGTTTTCCAGTGACTCATAGATCACCTTTAAAAATAACGTTATAACAAAAACTAAAGCTCTTATATTAATTACTTGTGTCTGTTTGAAGCTTTAATCGTCATTGCAAAATATCTAATATTAAATAGTACGTAGAAACTACACGTTTGTTTTGAAGCGGTTTGTTAACATAGTTTTCATAACATAACGTTTCTTATACTCGGACTAAGTAATATCATGTACGATAGCTTGTGTACCTGGTTAGTGCAGGCACCAATTTAGTAACAATTACTTTAATTACAAATAATTTCTCTACATCTCAACTTTTACTTATGTCACGTATCTCCGCTCATATCACGCTCTCCTCTCTAACTGTCGTGATTATTTTTGTCTTAAATAGCTTATTCAGACATAGGATTGTACTCGACTTTCGAAATCGGACATTCACCATTAATCGTACGTCATATATTTTTTATTTATTTATTTAGATACACCATCGGCACACACATAGACAAACTTACACTGTTTTGTCATATATTTTTTATACAGTTGCAAGGTATACAGGCGTATACAGCAATATTGTTTATACATGAATATCTCATTAATAGAAAGACTTTGATACGAGCTACAGTTCAAAATGTGAATTGCTTGACGGGAACTACATTGCCGATAAGAACCGATATGACAACGCGCCAAAAATATCCGAACCGACTTTTAAAACTTTTTAACTATGTCATTTATAATAGAACGACTTTGATACGAGCTACAGTTCAAAATGTGAATTGCTTGACAGGATCTACATTGCCAATAAGAACCGATATGACAACGCGCCAAAAATATCCGTGTCGACTTTTAAAACTATTTAACTATGTCGACTCATCCGTAGAACAAAGGTCTTTGTGTAAGACTACTTGTTCTCAGGACATAGTACATTTCGTTCGTTCTTCTTCGCTGTGGATGTCAGATCGACCTTTGTTCGATTTTATATTTCCGAAACGAAGATATATATTAATTCTCAAAATACCTTTACATAGGCCTTAGTTTGAATAACGAAATTGTTCTCGTAACGGACTTATTCTCTTTTCGCTATGTAATCACATCGGACTCTGTTCTTCGGATGAGTTGATGTCATTTACTGCAAATAACGAAGACTTGTAAGTAAGTTATACAGAAATTTCTATGTTTACACTAATAAGTATTGTCCCTACTACCAGTAAACGACAGTCTAAGCTACTAAGACCGATTTAGGGCAGGTACAAGGTACAAGCACAAATTTATAAATAACCGAGCGCGCAGTTAGTTCATTTGTACAGTCGCATACAATTAATAGACTTTGTTTTTGCAAATTTGTTTATGTAAAATGTTGTGAGTTAAATTAATAAACAAACAATAAACATCAGTAGTTGAAAAATAAAATATTGGCCAGAAAAATTAATTGTTTAGTAACGTATTGCCCATTTTGGCTATTCATAGTAGTTGCAATGCTACTCAGAGTTTTAAATCTGAGTGGCACTGCCACTCACCCAGATACTTAAGTTGACAAATACCATAGAACGCAGTAATGCTCATATTGACTGCTTGGCGGTAGAAATAGGAGAGGTGGCAGTACTTCCGTGGACGAACTCGTTCACATGGTGTACTGGTGCTAACATTTGTATCAAAACCGGTGTCGCCACACGCACACATTTGAAAACGTAATCTTACATTAGTACTAAGATAACATAATTTTGATTGGTTATAAAAAATCAAACGAAAGTAGACAATAATAAAAAGTTTTTGGTAAAAAAAAGAAACTTATTTGGATCTAATAAGGTTTAATTATTACTAGTCACATAAAAACTAAGAATCCTATGAACATAAACTTTTTGGAACAAAAGCTAAAAGTTGACAATCTACAGATAGGGATATGACATATACTCGTAATTGATATCGACATTATGTTTCATGACCAGCGGAATATTGAATTAGGCATTGCTTTATACTTGCTATAATTAGGGTTAACCACGGCGTATATGGAAACGGCATTTACAGCAAATTTTTCGAGAACTATCGTAACTGACTTTTACACGCACACATTTGTTACCAAATACGCATAAGGTTTTATTACTCTCAAATATTAATTGATATTAGCTACGCAGGCGTGTGCGTATACTTAGCTACATGCTACAATCACTGTATTAATTATCTATTATACTGTCATCGTACTTTCATTAACCTACTACATTTCGAGTCAATCCGATCACTGGAAGGGTTGAAATATTAAAACTCAGTTATCATAAAATCTTTATTCTCCCAGAAATATGATATATTTGTTCAACAATTATCTCTTTCTGAACTGACTGAACATGACTACACCTATAGCGTCGACGAGTTTGTCAAAAAAATAAAGATACTTATTTCCGAAGGCGAAGAAGCGAATCATTTGTTTCATGAAAACTTGACGAAAAATAAGTGACAATGCTTCAGAAATTTTTTCACATTTAGATGTGGTCTATAATTTGTGATGGCGACTTTGAGTTTCATGTCATATATTACCTGATTAACCAAATGATTTATTTATTAATGAATTTTTCGGTTATTATTCATATGTATATAATTTTATGTGATGTCATTTAGTAGGTACCCAGCTTTTACTGCCTGTTGCTTCAGTCCATTTCTTCTTTAAAAACGATGCGGCGTTAAACTAAAAAAATTAATACAAAAACTGCACAGTAAATCGTGCCTGTAATAAAACTAAGAACTCAAGCAGACGAAGGTGACGTATAATAAGCAAGTAGGGACATAGGAATCGTGTTGGTAAGGGAAAGAAAATATCCAATCTCATAAAGTCTTCATTTGATACTCCACGAGCTTACGTGCATTGTAAAATTATCGACACTGTACCTTTTCTATCTATATTTCCTTTTTTTATTAATATATCGTTTTTACTTAGATTAAAAATTTAAAAAAATGCGAGTGTTGGGACCAAACATTTAAGTAATCTAAGTAATCAAAATTGTTAGCTTTTAAATACCTGTAAACAATTTATGTTTACACATTTGTACCGCTATAATATAAAAAAACGTTGAACTAAACCAAAATCGGGTTTCTAAATACAGAGTTTCTACATATCGATAATTTGATTACAACACGCGGACCCAGTACCAAGTGTAATACGCAATACTAGTGCAAGCAATTCATTGAGCGTCATTCGAATTGTTCTTTTGACGGCGGCGATGGCTACCAACCAATGTTATTACCGGATTGCAAGAAAATAGTTTTGTTTCGAAATTATAGTATTGTATTTTTCAAAATATTAGAAAATACAGTTTTGATACTTACCGATGAAATGAAATCACTCCCGGAGTATTTTTTAAACTTTGGCTTCTTACGCGACGTGATATAATGGCACAATATTATTTCTTTATTATTATAATATTTCTATTTTTCCTCAAAATAATCATGTATCAAATTTAAACGATGACAGACACGCTGTTGACACTCATATCACCGTCTGGTCATAAGCTAGGTAACGCGGAGCCCGCCCACTACACAGTCTATTACTAGTATTTATGTGGTTTGTGTATTTGTAACAAATTGCCTAAATAACTATTTCTCTAAATTTATTCCTAAAACCAACGGCTATACCAGGCCTATCTAGAGTTTATTTCGTTACTCTGATAGTCATAGTGGAGGTAATCACTCAATTTAATGTAATTAGTATGATTATCTGGTGTACATATCACGTTATATAGAAGTTCTTTGCTTCATTCTTTCTGATCAGTGGCGTAGTGTCAATTTCTGCTAACCTTAAATTTGCTGCCCCCTTTATTTTCACGATTACAACAGTAGTTGTTCGGGCAGGCTCGGCTCGATTGTGTTTATATAGTCGCCTGCCGTCGCCACCTTTAGTTGTTGTTCAGGATAATCGTTTTCTCAAATGGAGGTATTTATTCTATTTTTAAGTGAAAAACACCTGCCAAAACGCCGCCACCGCAATTGCTGTGCCGCCCGGTACATAGCCTCCTCTGCACCCCCCAAGCTACGTCACTGTTTCTGATTCGCACGGCAAAAACATGATATTCCTGCCGGTATCTATGTTTCCCGAAAGTTGCAATTTAGGACTGTTCCTGGCTCAAGTGGATAGGCATTTACTGAACCAATGCGTAACGTCGTCGGCCACATCGTCACTTGAGCATCGTGTTCGTATAATTTACTTAAAAAAAATTGTAAATAAAAATATTATGTACCATTTATAAAAGGCATCACTATTTGTGTTGCGAATTTTAAACTCACTCGATGCTTGTGGACGCGATGTATTAACGTCCAGTTAGTCCCACGCCGACACGCGTTTAAATTCGCGCTAGCATTTCGCAGCGAATTCGATCCTTCTGGACAAGGTCTAATTAAACATTGAAATCCCGTTGAGTTGTTGAAATATCAACATTAGTTTGCAGTGGTAACATTCAGCTTCCTTCATACGGTATGCAATATGTAAATAAAAAAAATACATTGACATTCATTTATTCGCGTCTGTAGGTTAACAACTTGCCCGTCATCTTTACCAATTCTTTTCAACCGGATTACAACGAATCCAAAAAGAAGAGTCATTATTTTAGCAACTAATTTATACCAATATGGAACGTAATATAATGTTTTTTCGTGACCTCATAATTAGGCTGCGTTTCAACCAGAGATGTGCGAGGTAACTATGCGCTGTGCGAAGAAGCAGCTCTGGTGGAAAAGGGCTAGCGGAACTAAGTATTTGTACATACAAAAAAGCGAGAGATGTTTGCGAGGTATGTGAGCGACGAATGTGTGCTTAACGGTGTAGGGAACTGGAGCTAATTCGCTACACATCCTCGCACCGCCAAGCTACCTCGCACAGCTTTGGTGGAAACCATCACACCGTTTCACAGCACCGCTATTGTGTCCTCAGACCGCCTAGCTACCTCGCTCAACTCTGGTGGAAACCGTCACACCGTTTCACAGCGCCGCTA